CTAGTGTTAAACTATATGAAGCTGTTTGAGTTCTGGCTACTGAGGTGCTCTTCTATAAACACATGTAGGTGTGGCAGCTGGGCCTCTGCTCCTCGCAGCATTTCATCATGTTCCCCTCCGAGACTACGGAGCTGAGGATGTGCCGCCAATGACCCGCCACTGTCTGTTGTGAGAGGGGGAGCACAATGACACAGTAGTGGGGGACCCATTTCACAATAAAAGCTTCCTTTCATGCTATAGCACTGACCCACATACACTCCAGGCACGCATCGCTGGCTCCAGTAATTTCGCCAACACAGCTGGAGCAGTCTTTAGGGGGCCAGCGAGCGGCTGCCTTACAGTAAATGACTGCTGTAGAGAAAACTTCATCACAGGGCACTGACTGTAACTGCCTACCCCTTTGGATTCAGAAATCTGGAGGACAGCATTGAAGTGGTGACATTAACACGAGGATAGAATAGTTTCTGAACTCTTAGAGACAAATTTTAAAGGCAAAGAGGGACTATAGATTCAGCTTTAAAATGTTTTTACAGTTAAAAAACTGGAATCGTGCAAACATTGGTATAACTGCAAAGATAACTTCTAGATTCATTAAAAGTTATTCAGGATTACATCGAAAACAAAAAGCCAGGTCCAGTGGGTTAAATGTATCTCACCCTGACAGCAACAGCTTCACCTCAGCAGCCAGTTTGTTCAGTTCCCTCCCAGAGGACAATCTCTGTGACAACAGAGTACGGTGAGAGGAGACTGTTTGCAGACTGCTGATCCATATTTCGAATGAGTCAAGACTAATCATGCATGATACAGTCAGTGCACAAACGTGCTCTTTCCTGTCGCTCTATTTGTCAGGAAAAAGTGTAATGGCATGGATCTAAATAGTAATCAAGCAGGATTTTTTAAAAGTAATTTAATACAGTATGAATACAATGTTCCTTCTTTTTTTATATGATGTAGTTAAACACGTGTACAAAAACATTTTTTTAATTTAAACGTAGTATTATCACAAAGAAGTCAACTTCTCTCTTGGCTGTGAAGGCAATAATAATGACCTGTTGCTACAGTGTGCAGGATTTTATGGAAGCCCATTTGTGCCATGAAAAGACAAAAAACTAGATGGAAAGTTTGACATTATAAAATGAAAATACTCACTCAAAAAATTCACTTACTATGTCAAATTTGAGCGGTAGCCAATTAAAGGTCCAGTGTGTTACATTTAGGATGGTCTATTGGCAGAAATGGAATATAATATTTATAGGTATGTTTTCATTAGTGTATAATCACCTAAATATAAGA